TAGTTCAAGCATGTTCAGCTGCCGTGCAAGAACCAATGAGGTTCATTCTCGGGTTACGCAGCTCGTTTGAGCTTCAGCAAGAACCAATGAGGTTCATTCTCGTGTTACGCAGCACGTTTGAGCTTCAGCAAGAGCCAATGAGGTTCATTCTCGTGTTACGCAGCACGTTTGAGCTTCAGCAAGAACCAATGAGGTTCATTCTCGTGTAACGCAGCACGTTTGAGTTTCAGCAAGAACCAATGAGGTTCATTCTAGTGTTACGCAGCACGTTTGAGCTTCAGCAAGAACCAATGAGATTCATTCTCGTGTAACGCAGCACGTTTGAGTTTCAGCAAGAACCAATGAGGTTCATTCTCATGTTACGCAGCACGTTTGAGCTTCAGCAAGAACCAATGAGGTTCATTCTCATGTTACGCAGCACGTTTGAGCTTCAGCAAGAACCAATGAGGTTCATTCTCATGTTACGCAGCACGTTTGAGTTTCAGCAAGAACCAATGAGGTTCATTCTTGTGTTACGCAGCACGTTTGAGCTTCTGCAAGAACCAATGAGGTTCATTCTCATGTTACGCAGCACATTTGAGCTTCAGCAAGAACCAATGAGGTTCATTCTCATGTTACGCAGCACGTTTGAGTTTCAGCAAGAACCAATGAGGTTCATTCTCGTGTAACGCAGCACGTTTGAGTTTCAGCAAGAACCAATGAGGTTCATTCTCATGTTACGCAGCACGTTTGAGCTTCTGCAAGAACCAATGAGGTTCATTCTCATGTTACGCAGCACGTTTGAGCTTCAGCAAGAACCAATGAGGTTCATTCTCGTGTTACGCAGCACGTTTGAGTTTCAGCAAGAACCAATGAGGTTCATTCTCGTGTTACGCAGCACGTTTGAGTTTCAGCAAGAACCAATGAGGTTCATTCTCGTGTTACGCAGCACGTTTGAGCTTCTGTGAGAACCAATGAGGTTCTTTCTCGTGTTACGCAGCACGTTTACGATCTCTTTATGAGCTTTTTGATTATTCAAAGTGGTAGTTGCGTAGCTGTCAATGTAGGGACAGAAATCGCTCAGATTTCATTCAAAAGATTTGTGTTTCGAAGATGAACGAAAGTCTTGCAGGTTTGGAACGATATGTAGGTGAGTAAATGATGACAGAATTTGTGGGTGAACTATCCCTTTAAGGATGATAGAGGATATTCAACAATAAAAAGTGTGAACGACTTTATGAAGGATTTTATTCATTATGAATTGATTGGATTGTGAAAAGTGGACAGCTTGATAACAAAAATCATTTTTATGATTACAAATTTTTTGCCTTTGAAATAGCTTTTACTTATCTTACTTTTATGCATTTAGCGGTTTTATCCAAAGCAACTTACATTAGTTTAAAAAAAGTATGCACTTTGATCAGTTCATGCATTCCCTGGGAATCAAACCATAACCGTTCCATTGCTAGTGCCATTCCTTTACTGTTTGAGCTACAGTTCTGTGTGCGCAAATGTGAACCGATGCGTTGTTCACAGTAAGACCTGGCACATGTTAATAAAGTAAACAGGGTCAATTTTGATTTCATTTAAATTTCTGATTTAGCTTACCTGTAATTATAGCTTATATTTCAATTATTAATTAATTATTTCAATATTAATATATATTTGTAAAAAAAAAAGTCCAATATTTTATTCCATATGATTTTTGGGTGTGAATGTTCTTCTTTGTGTTTAGCATATGGATGAAATTACTGAATTGCTGTCAGAACAAATTTGTTCATAAATATGTTTTGTTTTTTAATTCTAAACAGTTATGCTCTCTCTGTTTGATCTCCACTTATTGGGCAAAAATAGAGTTTCTGTCCAAACTGAATTTTGATTTACAATCATGAAATGACTTGCAGAGCAGTTCTGTTATATGGGAAGGTTGCAGGTCCTTGATGGGAAAAGTCAACTTTTGCAGAAAGAAAAATTGAATTTAAAGTTTAAAGCAGTAGCTTCATGTGACACTGAGTGCTCTTGACCCATTTGGAGAACTTGTGGACCAGAACTGTGCAGTCATTAGAAGTGCATCAATGTACAGCAGTAGAGCACATCACCCGCTCTTTAAACATTTCTGAAGCGGCAGAAAGTCAAATCTATGCAAAGCTGAATTACACCCAGCGAGAGAAAGACTGAACTTCAGTGCTTTGAAGTGTTAGAAGGATAGAGATGTTCTTCGGTCTGTTCAAAGCCATCACGCCAGTCTGTTCCGGAGCGTTCTGCAGAACGAGTACATCACTGAACTCTGTTTTAGAGACGATTTACAGTGGATCTGGAAAGATGATGAGTAGAGAAGCTCTGCGTCGTCGAGATGAAACAGGCCCTGATATTAAATATACATGCTGGCGTAGAAAGGTGTCCTGGATTTCTGCTCATTTTGTCATGTTTGTAGATCTGAAAGGTTACGAGTGAACATGAGGAAGCAAGACGCTTTCTCGTTCTCCTCTTCCTGACATGCTGTTTGATCTACGATAATTGTAATCCGATAGAATTTTGGTGGATCAGATGGTTGGATCTCATGTTTGATTGTGAAAAGTACACACTGCATATTTAAAACTACTTGAACTTTTATGTGATCACAGGAATTATTAGGAAAGCGGTTTACAAGTTTATACAAAATTGGTAATAATAATAAATGTTTCTTGAGCAGCAAGTCAGGATAGTAGAATGTGTCTGAAGAATCATGTGACACTGAAGACTGGAGTAATGATTTTTAAAATATATTCAAAATTGGAATAAAACTGGTGTTTTGAATTGTAATAATATTTCACAACATTACTGTTTTTACTGTATTTGATCAAATAAATGCAGTAGTACACATGTAGTACACTTAAGTACAATCGTGATACACTTTATTTTACGTAGCTTATCCCTGTGTAATATTATGTGAATACAATGTAATTAGGAAGCTACCGCATGTATTTAAGCTGTGAACTAGTGAGTTATTTCAAACTAAAGTACATATGGATAAGGTTTGTAGATACACATGTAGTACACTTAAGTACAATCTTGATACACTTTATTTTACGTAGCTTATACCTGTGTAATATTCTGTAAATTTAATGTAATTAAGAAGCTACCGCATGTATTTACGCTGTGGATTAATTCAGATGGATAAGATTTGTAGATACACATGAAGTGTGCACTTAAGTACAACCTTGATACACTTTATTTTATGTTACATACGTGTAACAGCCTACAGAAGGTACAAAATGACCATGTGTAACTGCAGGCTTTTTTCCACACCTTAGTAACATATTTAAGGACTTGTTACATTGAGTAGTACAAAGTACTTTCTTATATAATTACATTGTACCAAGTCGGTAACACATATGTAACCGACTCGGCCTGTTACATGTGTAACAGTAGCTGCCTATTATTACATGTGTGTAATTACAATCTGTAAGTACAGGCTGTTCCATAACTTAGTTACATGTTAATTACATTTTGTTACATGTTATTACAACGTCTACTACTAAGTAATTAATTAAGTAATTACTCTGTATCACGGACACCGGTTACGTAGTTACATTGTACTTACTTAAGTACTGAGTCATTTTAATTGACTACATGTGCTTATTAGAGTTACGGGGTAACGCTTCCTTTTACAGTACAGTACTTACGTGTACTTAGTGTACTTACCTAGAAAGTACTGGCTAATATAAGGTAAGTACATGGGTTAGGGGTAGGTTTAGGGGTAGGTTCAGGGTTAGTACCTAGTTATTACCCAGTAATTATAGTTACTATAATAAGTACAAGTACATGGGTAACAGGACTGTAAAAGGAAGCGTTACCAGTTACGGTTAGGGTTAGTTACTTGTAATTATGCATAATTTACTGTTATTACGAAGTACATGTAGTAATGTGTAACTACGTCACCTTAAAATAAAGTGTTACCAAAAAATCATATAGACTTATATTTGAGAAGCCTATTGACTTGGACTAAAGGCCCCGATATACTAACGGCAAAGTTCTTTTTCGTTCTTCATTTAGGGGTAAAACGAAGTTCGAAATACGTGAGCAGCGATATACTTTTATCGAACATCAGTTCGTTTTCCGATTTCGTTTGAAGTATATTGGGACCTTAAGGCCCTGATATTAAGATGCGTTGTGGTCGATTGGATGGACAAGGCTAAAAACAGGAGTAAACAGAGACTAAAACATTTTGAGCTCGTCCACTTTAGACCACTTCCAGAGGTAGTCGAAAACACCGGATTGCTTTCGTAGTGTAAACACTCATGAGGTCGAATGTGTTCAAACAGCCACAAAACACTGTCTTCTCTCCTGATCTAATGTGTGAACATTATGGGAAGAGCTCTAGTCAGGCGGGGTTTAAACTGTTGGAGACACAAGTTTGGTTTGAAGATGAAAAATGTACCAAGCACAATGTTCTCTCACCATTCATGATTTCTAACACACACTCACAGCGTTCGGCTGGTCTTGAGCAGAAACGAAAGCTGATGCTCGCCGTATGTTTTTCCGTCGTCTCCGGTTGTGTTCATATGTAAATTACACGAGCTTATTTCGTCCATTAGATCGAAAGATCTAAAAAAAGCCCATATATTTATTGAAAACACCCTTGAAGAAATCAGGACCACTGGTTGAAAGTGGACAAAAGAGACAGATTACAACACCGTGTGTGAACGGGAATGTCTCCCTCGTCCACTTGTGATCCGAACGACCGAAACGCATTAGGTGTAAACAAGGCCTAAGAAACCACCTAATTATCAGTCAGATCGTTTTTGCAACCACGTGGCAACAGCCTCAGTATTGCAATGCCAACTTTAGCATGGACACCACTCACATTTTCTTCCAAAGTGTAAAAATCTCTAGTACTGTTGTAAGCGTGTGCATGTGATGTATTTTTGTTGCAGCTGTCAGCTTTATTTGTGCTGCTCTGCTTATACAATTCCTTCAGGGCGACACAATGGGAGACGTGTCACTGATCCGTCCCGTGTCTGTGTGTGTGTGTCCCGCAGGTCCGACGGTGAAGCTGCATCACCGATCCCCTCGGCGTAGAGGACAGCAGCCCAAGCTCCTGAACAGCCCGGAAGACAGTCTTTATTACAACCATCTCAACGTGAGTTCAAAGCCTTTCATGGAAGCCTTTGTCTAACTTTGTTTCCAGATGATAATACAATTAAAGCTACCTGTGCCAGACCCCCGAGCCCCCACCCCCACGCCGCTCTGCCGTTCTGTTGTCTCCACCATGTGCTTTGGCGCTTTATCTGTTGCTTTCATGTGAGGATGTCTCCCTTCACGGTGAATAATTGATGTGGTTTATCAAAGCCGAGCAAGATGCCTGCCTCATCAGCCTCAGCCCCACGCGCTTTGATCAAGAAAAATTATGCTGTGACTTCTGATATTATCAGCATCTGCACACATTCAACACAAAATCACTTTGAATTAAAAATTAATGATTCTCTCGCGCATGTTCCTTGCTTTCGCGCTTGTCTTTTCTGAAGCTTTTCTAACTCGGAGCGCGTGTGTGTGTGTGTTTGTCTGCGTGTGTTTGCGTGCGCTGGTTCTGTGTCCTCTCTGCAGAGAAGTCTGGATTATCAGGGGAGCAAGAGGAAACCCAGAAAACTGGGGTAAATAACAGCTTTCCTTCTTCGTATCTAAACACCCCACCAGCTCAGGAGGGGAGCCGAGAAGACCACAGCTCTGTTTGCTTCTCATGCAAATTTGCAGCTGAAAATACGAGCTATTTAAGAAGCCTTTTTATGTGTATTATTTTTGGGAGGAGAGAAGACGTGGTATAAGAATGCATGTATTAATTGTGAGATATGTGACCGCACAGTCTGTGAAGTTAAGCCTGGTTCCTCTAATACCTCGAGCAGGCTGTATATCAGCGCTCTTTATTAAAGGATTAACCGTTTCTCGCGTTTTTCTTTTATTTATTTCATATTTTTAACCCCTGCGAAAAACCTTTCTTGTTCTTAGTTTGTTACTTGAGGTTTTTTTTACAGTTCAAGAGTAGCTAATGGAATAATAAATAGCAATATGTTTTATTAATTTTAGCGCCTGTCATTTTTAGGTGTTTCAGAAACAAATGCAACTGACTGACATGAGAAAGAGAGAGAGAGAGTAACAGTTGAAAGGTCATTAAAGTATCTTGTAATGGAAACGAGAAATGCAACTAATTTAGTTTAGAATGTAATTAGGGAATTTGACATGTCTTGCTATTTTTAGAACTAATTTTAACAGTAATTTGCGAATTCTTCTATAATTATTATTATGCATGCAGTTTTTCTGATCTCATATTGGTTGTGAGATTATGCTCAAGTGTTGCACTTAATTTAATTATTTAATTTACCTCACCATAGAATTATTTTATTTAACTACTGAGGACACAATAAATAAAAAAACCTGAAAAAATACATTCAAGTTGAATTACTATTCAAATATGTACTGATACAGCCAGAAATGAATTCTTGAACTCCCAGACCATTCAGTTATACCACGCCTAACAATATATTCTAAAACAGCTTCATAAAACAAAAACTCAATTTTCTTATCAACCCCATAAAAGCACAGCCTACGTAAAAAGTGCAATCTCGGATGTGTTTTTAAAGGAAATAATTACCAGTACAGTATAGCACCTAAAATATACCCTCTTTCTTATTATGTGATACAAGGCAGGGCTGAAAATTGTCCCGAACTAGACTAGATTTCCCTCAGTGAATCTCTGCCATTTCCACCAGTATATAATTAATACATTTTACTGTAAAAACTTGAAAATGATTTAAAAAATGGCCATGTTGGAGCCATAACTTAGCTCCAGAAACGACCTTATCTCACTCTTAAAAATGACTTGTAACCTTACAGTTAAGTTAATTCAGTTATATTAATTAATAATTTTGACTTGATTGATCCAGTTAATTTAGATATTACATAAAGTCACTCTGTTTGACTTCATGTGTCTGCGACTCTTCTCATATTTCTCTCTCATTTCTCAGGCAAATCAAGCTCCTGGATGGAGAGGATGAATATTATCAACTACTGTCCACAATAGAGTCGGTTCCTGAGGAGGAAGCTTTATCTGGCCCCTCCCCAAACTCGACTGCCCCTCCCACTATCTCATCCAGATGAGCTGTGCTCCGCCCACCCCTTAGACTCGCGCTGACAGCTGGTAAGAGCTCCACAGACACCCGACCACTGCGTCTGTACACCATTAAACACACACTACCCACTTATTGGCTTAGATACTTGTTACATCATGATTCTAAGTATTTAAAGGGATAGTTCACCAAAAAATGATTCTTTTTATTTGTCTATACAATGGAAGTCAATGGTCACCTGTTTGGTTGCATTACTCAAAATATAGAATACATCATACAGGTTTTGGAATGACATGAGTAAATCATGACAGCATTTTCATGTCTGAATGAACTATTCCTTTAAAAGCAATGACAATAAGCCATTGCAGGTTGTTCTTTACAATGATTTTACCATGATTAAATATGACATGAAAGCAGCGCTTTTAGTTAATATCTGTTAGCTTTGAGGCCATTTACACCCTTGTGAAAAAAGTACACATTCTGTACACTGTAACACTTTGTACTCTCTTTAAGTGCACTTAAGTGGCATTTTATTTATTTAATATTATCTGCAAGTACAGTTTTTTTTTTGTGATACTTTTAAGATTTTGAAGTACATTCATTACAATTATGCACACTTCTTTTCCACTTCTTTTCTACTTCTTCTACCCATATTGGTGTCCCAACCCAATTAAATTAATAATAATATCCTTATTTTAGGACAAGACCTTTGATTTATCCAGCCCAAACATCCTGTTCAGTAGAAAAGCGTGAAGCGTGGTTCAATCATCCTCGGCATCAATTCGTTTATTGCTTTTTTTTAAAAGAGCAACAGAAATAGGATAACAGCCACCAGTGTTTATTAAAACTAGTCATATTTATTTATTTAATAATATTCTTGTACCAGTATTTGGTTAGTGTACTGTGTATTGTAGATATAGTTTATGTGGTCAGCTCTTGTTAAAATGGACACTTCCTTTCCGGGATGCTGATTGGTCAATCCAGCATTCCAGTCTTGCTAAACTGTATAACAACGCGCATCACCCACAGACACCAACTAACCTTCGTTTACACGTCAGGAACTATATCTTCTAGCGGAAAAAGAATCATCATGAATGTCTGAAACATCATACATTTGCTAGGTACAACAATGTTTAAGTAAAATATAAATGTTTTATATTGTGAAAATAGTTAGTTGATACTACAATTGCTTTCAGACCCTTTTAGCCTTGAATATGATCACAATATAGCACAACTTCACATATTTTATTGCGTAATTAATTTGGCTTCAGACATGGCTCATCCAGTCAGACTTTAGACCTTAACCATCTGTTTTATAAAGATGAATTATACAGGACACTTACCTGGCCATAGAAGAAAGGTGGTACTTTTTGACAATGGTAACAGACCTTGGCACAAGACTAGTGTCAGTGTCTCTCTCTCTGTACTCAAACACAGATAAATGAGTACTACTAAAAAAATATAGCAAAACTGCTCTTCAGAGAAACAACAAATCCCTCACAGACTGCTTTGTCTCTTTATTTCTGTGCTCTTTTTTCCACCTCTTTTTGTGATTGTAGTCTTGTTTGCTGTGGCAGACTGTCAGATCAGACACGTTTTGCCCTAATACACATGACAGACAGTGCAGATGTCACATGGCATGAATGAATGAAGAATTTAATGACATAGCTCACTGATTTTGGAGGCTTTGGCATCCTGTGGTGTCATAATAGTCACTCAGGACACAACAGCAGTTATTTTCAGAAACCCTGACTTTCTATTGACTTTCTACCATATACATAAAGTGGCCCCCAAAAATACCTGGACACTAAAGAAGACACACTTAAAAAAATAGATGAATTTCATTAATTTATCAAAGCAAGTGACATTTTAAGTCAAGTCAAGTCACCTTCATTTAAATAGCTCTTTTTGCAATACAGTTTCAAAGCAGCTTAACAGTGATAATAGGAAATAATGCAACAAAGATTGTTTTGGCTGTACATCAGTTCTAGAAAAAAGTCATTGTCCACCTTAAGTAAGTTTTTGGATTGATTCATTTCGGTTGTAAAAATCATTAGTTATTGACTTATGGGCCGCTTAAATGACACCGTTTTCAACTGAAAACAGAAACTTTTAATACGTTCTGGCCGTTCATTTACACGACAACAGCGTTTTGGTAGCTAGAGAACAAAAACTTTGAAGTAGGTTTCGAGTTTTTGAAAATAAGGTTTGAAAAAGATACCGTTATCTCCATATCTCCATGTTCTCTTCAAAAACGTGAATCTGTGAAAATGGTGATGGTGAACGGTAATCATTTTGATAACATTTTGATACGGAGGAGAAAACGTTTTGTCGTGAAAAAACAACAGCTTTTGTCTAGTTGATCTATTGTACTATTGCTGCTGCTGACACTACAGGGCTACGTTGTGAGCGTGTCTAGGCGCAGGTATTTGGTATATCTGATCTGGATATGGCCCGGGTCCGGCTGCGGTAAACCTCTGGATAAATGGAGAGACTAATATTAGCATAGATGCCATTCTTCTTATGATGTAACGAGTACATCAGGTGTTATGGGCCAGCTGGAGTTTGTTTATTAAGCATGCAGGGCAACCACCCAGTAGAGCATTACAATAATCTAGCTAAATCTAGTTAAGGTCATGAACACATGAACTAACTGTTCTGCATTTGTCATTGAGAGCATATGATGTAATTTAGATATATTTTTAAGATGGAAGAATGTAGTTTTACAGATGCTAGAAATGTGGCTTTTAAATGAAAGATTGGTATCAAAGAGCACACCCAGGTTCCTAACCGACGACGAAGACTTCAGAAAGAGCAGCCATCAAGTGTTAGACGGTATTCTAGGTTACTACTAATCAGAATCTCTATTTTTTCAGAATTGAGAATTTCAGAAATTCTGTTAATTTTGTCAATTTTGAGAATTGGTAAGGTAGAGCCGAGTATCATCAGCGTAACAGTGAAAGCTAACGCCATGCTTCCTAATGATATCTCTCAAGGGTACCATTTACAGGTTGAAAAGCAACGATCCTAGTACTGAGCCTTGAGGTACTCCTTATTGAACTTGTGATTGATATGGCACCCTTTCGTTAACTGCTACAAACTGATAATGAGTCATCATTTGTTCATCTATATTATATCTGTTTTTTAACTTGTTTGAAATCAATAAAATTTTCACCTTTAAATGGGTTTGAGAGTTTTTTGTATTTACTAATTCGGGAAACAGACACAGTCTCTATATGATGATATCTAGGTAAAAGAGTCTCTGTGTTTGGATTTAACTGATTTCTGTGACGTGAGACCCACAGACGTGCTGTTAGCAGACGTGCTGTTTAGCCAGTCTGTCTGCTTCCTGACTTGGGCCCCAGTTAGTAAAGGTTCAACTCTAAGACCCCAGGAGGGATGAATACCATTTCTTTTTAACAGGTCAGGTCTGGCCCAAAAACTTTTCCAATTGTCCATGAACCCTATATTATTCTGCGGACACCACTTTGACAGCCAGCCATTAACTGAGAACAGTCTGCTAAGTATCTCATCACTCTGGTGAACAGGGAGGGGGCCTATTACAGTATATTACAGTGTCTGACATCGTACTTGCGAGTTCACACACCTTTTTAATGTTAATTTTGGTGATCTCCGACTGGCGAAGTCGAACATCATTAGTGCTGATGTGAATAATAATCTTTGAGAATTTACGATTAGCATTAGCTAGCACTTTTATTTTTGTGACTATGATGGCTGGTGTCTCTATTTTCACGTTCTGTGTAATAGAATCGCCAATAACTAGGACATTATTCGGGATTCTCAGTGGGTGTGTCACTGAGTAGGGAGAACCGGTTTGATGTTCAGTTGCCCTGCTCTACAGCCAGAACCGAACAATGTACAGTACAGGGTTCGCTAAGCTAGTCGCATCCAAAACAGTATCTAAAGCCCTTGCATTCTTACTGTCCTCGATTCAAGTTTGGATGAGTTTCTAATTCTGATATCTTTTCCGTCAGCCTGACTATCTCCCTGCATTTATCACAAGTGAAACCCCCGCCGTTGGCAGAGAAGGCTATGCTATACATGAGGCAGGCAGTGCACGTGACAATAACAAGAGAAGATGACATGACTCACCGTGTTTGTTGACTGATCCAACTCACCACAGTTGTTTGATGGATTTGTAAAAGATGAGAGCGATCAAGATAAAAAAAGACGGCAAGTACGGATGGCAGGTTAACAGGCTAGCGAAATGCTAGCGCATTGTTGAGCAATATAATATTATTGTACTACATTGCTCTTTATGTGCACACTAGAGAGACCCAGCTTGACAGAGAGCGAGTGAATAAATGAGTTCTGTTTTAATTTATATCCGAAAAGGACAGATGAGAGTATCGGCAGTTTATGCAAGCTGCTGGTTCGCTAGAATCATTCCCGGTACTGTGAACAGCAAAGCAGAAAGAGGACTCTGGAGGAAGACGCAGAGCAGGCAGAGGACAGAAAACCTGGGGAGATGACAGAGGGAGAGACCAGGGTGGCAATGACTAGGAGGAGCCAGGAGCAAAGTGGGGACCCAGACCATAGCCAGAACGATGGCTCACGGCAGAGTCGAGGGAGGAAGGAGCCATGGTGGGACCTTGCTGACGACTGCAGGGGGACGACTGACAGAGACGAGGCCGATGGATGTGGAGCCCAGGGCGCAGATGAAGAGCCAGCAAGACCGGGTGAAACCGATGGTCCTAGAGACTGAAGAGGAGCCGCAGTGATGAGCATCTGAGGTGAAGCCAAGGTGCCAGAGGACTAAGGACGATGGTCCCAGGTGGAGCCGAGAGAGGGGGAGCCAAGGCAGAGCTGACAGGTTGACGGGCCGAGGTGGAGTGAATGGATCGACGGCTGGAGACGAAGACAGGGAATGCTCTTGACTTGGCGGAGCTGGAGACCGGAAGACCCGAGGCAAATCCACACAATAGAGTGGTGTCAGATGAGGAGCCGAGGGGCTGAAAGGAACTAGCGAAAGCAGGGCCGAGGAGAAAACATTTATGAACAAACAAAAACTTTGAGCTGGGCTGGAAGAATCAGGGAAATAACGAAAACG